TTCCATGCATCTCTTCGGGAAGCCCCCCCCCCCCCCCCCGAAATTTTTTTACCACCCCCCGAACGAAATGAAATTTATATAATTTATATAGAAAATATATACTTTTAACAGTGTCCGCCCCTCCCCCCCCCCCCCCCCCCGAAAATTTCGAGTGCCCCCCCCCCCCCCCCCCCCGGAGAAAAAAGTCTGGAAGAAACACTGTTTGCACCAATAATGAGTAGATCAACATTTCCAAACTGTAACACCGATGTTGTTTTTTTTCATTTGAAAAAAAAATTAAATCCAAGACACCCCTATTCATCTCTTCCTTCATTGATCGTAATTAAGTAAAGTTTCTTTATTTCAAATTTTAAGAGCAGCCAAAAGAGCAAATGTGCCAGGACATCACGTGCTTGTAGACACTTGCAGTACAAAACAACTTAAAAACTCTACGGTGTCTGGGCTGCAGACGTGTTAAGTTACCTGACGACCAGGTCGCCATGAGACAGGCGGTGATCGGTTTACGTACCGATTCACCTTTTGATTTAGGCACAGTTCTCGACATTAAGACGCAGTTTATTTTCCTAAAAAAAAATGGTACCCCAAAAAGCAAATCCTGTTGTCTACGCTTGCTGGTGAACATTGCAAGTCACAATAGATGTTTTCCATAACATAATTCGGGACAGTTTTGACGAACTCTCTACCCCTCATAAATGACGTGATTGAACGATAGAGCGTTTGGGTGATAGCGGACCGTACAGGGTGACACCAAGGCAAAATATATAAAGAAAACACAAAAAATATCGTTCCTGTTAAATGAATTAGCGTTAAATAGTCTTCTAGGAGCAATGTTAACAAATCCCGATGACAAGGGGGGATTGGGGGGGGGGGAGGTGACAACATGACGTAAACCTGTTAAAGATAGAGAAAAAAAGCCAAGTCTAGCCGTATTAATAAACTACTATAGATAGGGGGGTCGGCTTCTATAATAATTTATTACAAAAGCAAAGATTTTTCCATTTTAATTAATAATTGTTAGCATTAGGCCTCTAAATGCTTTTTCTAGGTGGATTAATATAAGTTGACGCCATTCGACAAAAAGGTAGGGGGTGACACTAAATACACCGTCCACTGAAGTGGATTGGAGTGAAACAACTTTGGAAGTTTACAAATCTACATATTAGTAGTCAATAAAAAAACAAGCAACAAATAAATAGAAGTGGTTGGCTTGCCACATTGACACATTTTGACGCTTTTCTTTAGCCATGAAAAGAATTGTCAAACGTTTTGAAACAATTAATTCACATCTTAATTCAGTCTAATCTTGACATTTTGTATATTTTGTATATGGAATATGTAAAGTTATAATAATTTGATTATACCCTTATGAGGTAAATAGCTTCTAGCTATTTTGTCACTACGTTACTCATTTTCCTATACATTAAAACTACGTGTTTTCAAAAACATTTAAATACATCCAGAAATAAAAGATATATTTAAATACATATACACATGCGTATACACATACTTACAAGTGTGTATGGCATATATATATATATATATATATATATATATATATATATATATATATATATATATATATATATATATATATATATATATATATATATATATATTAGGGTGGGGGTAACACCCTTAGGTGCGGCACAGGGTGACACCCGACCTAGCGACGCCACTGATATAGAGAACTCGGTAGGCCTATGGAT